CCCAACTGTGATGCCCAGAGAAGTATCATCCCATACACGACCTCCAATTCTCTCCCTTGCCTCAAGCACCACCACCTGTAAACCAATGAAAAAGAAGAGTGTAAAGCAGTGTGCACCAGTACAGTGACCAGTGAACAGGGTAAAACAGGAGGTCAGAGAAGATGTGTACCAAGAACTAACTTAAGCAGAGGATAGTTACCTGAGTGCCAAAGTTCTGCAGCTGCCGTGCTGCAGCCAAACCTGAAGCCCCAGCACCGATGACGATAACATTCCTCTGCAGAAGTGATAAAAATGTGGGAGGTATTGTTAGCCATAATCAAATAAATGATGAACTTTTGTGTCAGGATCAAGTGAAGATGAGCACTCTCACAGAGCAGTATCTTTCAGGAAGCAGAGGCCGTTTCACTGCCAGCACACCAGTGTTGATGAGGCCCTTCCTGGTCATGAAGTGGAGCACCCGGTCCATCTCCTGCACGCAGCGCACACGCACCAACCCCCGGACAATGATGTTCAGAGCACATTTCTGGGAAGTCAGCACCTCCTATAGAAAAAAACAGGAAAAATGTTCATTGTTTTGAATGGTTTTTTTAGAATCTATTGTTTTGTTTTCTTAAGAGGAGAAGATGTGATATTTAAGTGAAGACAAACAAAACGAGCAATTTGTATTACAAAACCTAAAAAGGTGAAAACTAGGGCTGGGCACGTTAACGCATTATTATCAGGGTAAAGCATAAATTAACTAACGCCAACAATTATTTTATCGCATGTTAACGCAGTTTTTATTATTATTTTGAAAGTTCGTTGCTCACTGGCTCTGAATACACATACATCACACAGGAGGGGTGGGATGTTGATCAGCCTGCAAATCACCCACCCAAACAAGCAGCGGAGGGAGGCTTCGGCAGACTACGCTGGATGCAGTGTGTGGGACAAGTAAAACAAGCACCAAATGCCATAGCGAAGTGGATAGCTACACACTGCATGCTGATTAGTTTTGGGGAAGATGTCGGTCTTAGGAATGTTATTAAAATCAAAACTTAGTCGCTTGGCCCCGTGGAGTTGCTCTTTGCTTCGGTGATTAGACAGAGCTCCGGGAGTAAACAGCAACGGCTTCTGTGCGCTACACAGATCTAACCTATTTAACTGAAGTTAAAATTATAGGCTAACGTTACATAACTTTACCTAATAGGCCTTCATCTAGTTTTACGGGGATGCTCTGCCATTCGAATTCCCTCCTGTTGATGTCCTATTTAGTAGCCTAAACAGTAATAGATTCTGTAAACTCACAAACAGCAAGGACCGGTCTCTCTTCCAATGATTTGTGCTCCACGTCGCCTACAAAAAGTTTAAGACAATTTAACTTCGGCAGCGGGCGGGCATGTGCATGAGGCGAGCACTTCACCTCACTCTACAGGGACACTTGCTACTGAACATAGACTGTTTATGCTGCTCCCTGATAAAAGAAAAATGTTTCTGCTGATTCCTGTTCAGAAAAAAACACGAGAAAACAAATTCATGCATGTTAACTTGTTCAAAAGGTGTCTGTTATGATTGTGGCTCTGGACACTATGCCTGGCAGTGGCAAATAGCTTTGGTTTTAAGTTGAGATTTACAAGAAATATTTTATTGCTAATGTGTAAAGGGAATACTGCTAGTAAACAGCACTTTATTTGTTTAAAGTGTTTGCAAACCACATGTTAGTGCACTTTTATGTATATAGCAGTGGGCCTACATTTAAATTAAAAGAGGCAATACACTACTTTAGGAATCATTATTAAATTTTGCTCATAACAATGCGATTAATTGCAATTAATCGCAGAAAATCATGCGATTAAAAAATGTTATTGTTGAAAAAAATACAATATTGGAATGTCACTCTTGGCAGATGTCTGCTGCGTACCTTGCAATTCTTGTGCCAGGAGGCCAGAATAAGGTTACGCAAAGCCAAATACATGGTGGGATCGCGGGAAAATTCAGGAAACTCGTAAAGCTCATCCAGCTCCATCATATCCGGCCGCACGCACAGAGCCTTGCCACACTCATTAGGCTGGTAGAAGGGCTGGAAGTATGGACACAGGCCTGGAACTGAGGGATACAATCATAATTAGACATTATTATGTGGTTTAGACTGATATTTCTAAATGGGAGGCTGACCAAGCATCTCCCTGGTGTATTATTCCCCCATCTCTCTGTATATAGAGTAATTGTATGTACATCATAGTAGAGCAAACCATGGCTGTTAACATATTCATTCCTCTCACTCTTACTGACTTACTTTGTGGCTGGACGGCTCTGCAGTGGTCTGCCCTCAGCTCAGACATGTTGCTGGTAGAGCCTGATGGACTCATCCCCACACAGTCAGGATAGTAGGCAGCGAGGAAAGGGCTGGCTGGACTGTCTTTGAACAACGGCGGCAAAATCAACATTGAATGCCACCAGCTGTCAGTCACCTCGGCCACTCTCTGTGAGAATTAAACGGCATGGGATTAAAGGTGCAAATCATCATTGTGTATTTGCCTAAAGCAATGCTGACTAATACATTTTATTTTGTCTTAACTGCTAGATTTCCAAAACAAATCATAGAACACACATCACCAGCTTACCAAGTCCTCAGGTTGGGAGCACTGGTCCGGTCCTTCACTCTGCAGGCAAAGACACGCAATTATCATCACAAAAACAATTAAAAAGGTCACTTGTGAATGGCTGGTTGATTCCTTTCTATGTTCCTGTTAACCTTGATGTTGTTGAATTTCATTCCACAGCGGTACGTTGCTGCTAGGGAGGCAGTGAGTTGGATCTCCTTAGTCAGCTGACGCCACTTTCTACAGTCCGGTTTAGTGCATTGAACCTGAAAGGAACATACCACAATTAACGTTACAGTATTTGTGACACGGAGAACATTAAGAATAACCACATTCAGCTGTTTAACCAGAAACTGGAAGAGATGCCTGAGCTTACCCAGAATGGAAGCAGCTGATCTGCCATGAAAGCTTTCAGACTGGGTTCACTTTTCCCGTTACTAGTCCACACCTTCTTCCATGAAGCAAAAATCTCATAGCCATCTTTGTGACTGCCAATGGAAAAAAAAGAGAAAAGTTAATCTTATGGCCTTGATGAAACAGCACTTTAAATGTCACCATGGAATAAAAATACTGAAACATGTTTATAATATACAGAAATATGAGAGTGGTTCTGTCAACATTACCTTCTGTAGTAGTGATCAAAACATTCGTTGCAAAAATGCTCACCACATGAGAGATGATACCACCGAGATGTGTATCCATTTTTAGCACATCTGAGAAGAGAAAATTACAATCATGTCCATTGAAAACAATCTGTATCTAAAAGAAAGAAGTGACCAAGATAAGATCTGATTCCTGTTATACCAGAAAACATGCTACCTTTCAGATGCACTTGCAAAACAAACTGGGTATGTGGCAGAGCATCCAGCCTTCTCACACTTTCTGTACTTCTTCTCAGACTGGTCATCTTCCTCCTCTGTGTCTGTGGCTTTTCTCTTGCTCTAGAAAGAGTGCAGATAAAGTCAACACTGAGCTCCACTTAACTTTATTTATGGGGCACTTTAACTTAGTGATGCACACATCTGATATGCTGAATCAGTATCTGTGGCAATACTGATCTTGTTAAGCAGATCTGGTATCTCAATGACATCACTGATCCACAATAATAATAACTGGACATTTAGCTTTTATCCAAAGCGAAAGATTTGTGCAAGGTGATTTAGAAACAGTGTCTCCTTTACATCGTTTGTCCCAAGACAGCATTTTATGCCTACATTGAATAACTGACAGTAGAGATGTAACAGAGGGCCCCAGCCAGGGGCACAAACCCACACGTTGTGGTTCATGATCTGTGCCATAAAACCCTAGGCCAAAGGGCGATGGACTGTAAAGTAAAATATATTTACAGGGAGGTAAATATATTTTGATTATAATTATTTAAAAAAAAAGCAATATCTCAAAAATGTTTTCTTATGTTACATGTATATAAAAAAAAGGAAATATCAAGGCATCACTTTGACCTAAGACATGTACCATGTAAACCACAAGGTCCCTGGTTTGTGTTGCATGTCCTCACCCTTTTTCTTGCTCACATTTCCTGTCTTACTTTCGATTATATACAATCAATTAAAGGCAAAAATGCCACCAAAAATAGAAATATGGGTTGATTGTCATTGGATTAGTCAGTCTGTCGGGCATGACCCCACAGGCGATGAGGGCTGAGGATGAAGAGGAGTCAGCTTTAGAGACAGAGGCTGAACATGCATGCTGCAGTTTACCTGTCCAGGTGGAGGGTTGTTGGTGCGCTTCACCCGGACATTTGTTTGCCTTCCAGACGAGCGCAGGGTCTGGCCATCTCCCGGTGACTCCCCGGAGCTCCTCTTCTTGCCTCGCCGAGCACCAGAGCCATTCCCAGAATAGTCTAAACATTATAGTAACAACAACATATATCTTTAGTAGACAATACAGTGCAGCTCAGTATAAATGGGGCCTTTGTTGTGACTGATAAGGATCTTTATGATAGATAACATAACGTCCAAATGTATCCTATTATCGGAAATAACTACAAATTGACCAAAGCCACTGAAATACGAGGTTAATACGTATATACACACGGCAAAGGTGGCGACAGTTAAACACATTAGCAAGCTATTTAAACAAGTCAACAACGTCCGCCTGTCACATTTATAAGCACGTCGCAAGCAGCAGCGTTACGGATACTAACCTGCATCAGACAGCATGACTCACGGCGATTTATTTATCAAATCCCAGGGATTTATTGACGTTTATGTGAGTCTCCGAGACGGTTTTATAATGGTTGTATTCGTCTCCCTCTTATTGTTGTGGGGGGAAATCAATGCGCTGCTGTTTCCAGAATACCACTTCCTGTGAGAGAGAGGAAATGGGCGTTTCGTTTTTAGATGAGTTTTGAACACCGTCGCTCTCCGTACTATGAAGGTAACCATAGCACCTGTGGGACGCTGCAAGACTCGGGCAACACAAGGAGCAAAGAGGGAGATGTTGGAGGAAAAAGGCTGTTTTAAGATGATTATTATCCGAGTTTTCCGTGTAAAGGACAAGTTAGCTCGTTTTTATTAGCAAAGAAACACCGAGGTTAGAAAATAAACCTGTTGATAATGTTTGAAACTGTATAACTGTAAACGTTAACCCAACTGGAACTAAAAACTGAAATAATCAAATGAAACGACCATGTTTACGTTGCTTTTGCGGCTAAAATAAGAAGTTCCTTGAAATTGGGGGAAATGGATTCAGGAAAAGTTGTGCTCAGAAGAAACCTTCCTGTAATCAGACCAGGAGCATCTTATAAGAACCAACACATTCATGAGGTAAACTTTTCTTTTCTTACAGGGTTAATTTACATAAACTAAATCCTAGTTGTTAACTCCTAGGAATAACCTAGCCTACTTTGATTTACAGGTATTTTGATAGCAAACTAGACAACAACATCAACAATCATCAACATCTGAATATAGTAAAGTTATTAATAAAAAGAAGGGCAGCTGGAATTGACTTAAGATACTCGAAGACATTTCGTGCTTCATCCAAGAGACTCTATCATTTCTGAGAAACATTTGAAATGATGAAGGCACTTACAAATGACAAGCTCATCCAAAATTTAAACCATACTTTGGTGTTTCTTTAGAGTTTATAAAACTCTTTTTTTTAACCTTTTTATAAAATGAACCAACCCCAATAGGTGAGATCAATCAATCTGGACAACGACCCCACAGAGGTTAAATAGCTGAGACAATCAGAATTGAAGAAGTCTCTTTGTGAGGGACAAAACATCTTTGAGTATCTTCAACCAAGTACAGTTGCTCATGATTTTAACCTTCCTTGGATAACTATGACCTGGAGAACCTTCACAGACATACAATTATTAATGTTTAATGATGAAACTAATGTGCCTTTTTTCTTTTCTGTTGGTAAGAAAGAGCATGGTAAAGTAGCAGGTAGCACAGTAAAGGAGGATGAGAAGCAGGATGTGTGGTTTAACTTAGAGAGTCCTGAGTTTACATATGGCTTGTTCTGTTTTTGTAATTTACTCCACAGCAGGCAAAGGCTGTTATGGTTTAAGTCTCTAAGATAGAGGGAGTGGAATTGGTTGCCCGTGTTTCCTGGCAATAAAATAAACAGTTGTCATTTCATGATACTTATCCATCTGTCAATTTTAATACTTAATACATTGGGTTTAGCACAAATTAAATAAATATACAGTATAATGCTACATGATAAATAGAAGGTTTCAAATAGACCAAGTGATCGGTGATTGCTATTGGCCGATACTGCTTTCAGCAATCGGTGATTGGCCTAAAAAATCCTGATCGGAGCACCTCTATTACTAACATACCACAGTTACTGTATTTTTATGAATTGCTTATTGCTTCTGCATGTGTGCAAATAGAAATAGTACATCTGAATCCTCAATAAACTCTCTTAGGAAGTGAGAATTTCACAAATAATATTCTCTATAATAATGAAATATAGGTTTTACTACAATGCAGCTTCACACTAAACCCACATGAATATTTAAAAAATTGTGTTTTTTGTTGGCAGTGTCTGTGGATCTCTGTGATGTGGTGATCAAAACTCAGTTTATTGTTCAGAATGATGCCAAGGTACTTAAGCTGTCAACAATTTCTTCTGGCTGTCCATTGATGGAGATGAGGCATGGAGGGGTGGAGAGTTCATGGCACCCAAAATGCCAGATGGATCAAACAGAAACTGTAAAAAGGGTTAAAAAGCAATAAACAAGGGAGAAGTTACTCATTCCTTTCGTATGGACTGTACTCTTACTTTTATAATGGACTAGGGGCCTGGAAATAAAGTAGATATAAGAACTCAACTAAATATTGTAAAATAAGCCTTTTGCAGAAAACCATTTAGTTCATCTCTACAAATGTCAGGATTTTGACCTGAACCCAAAGGCAGACCAGGTCAGGGAGTAAGCTTTAACAGTTTATTGAACAGTTCAAACAAAAAGTGGGGGTACTCTCCAGAACTAGCTGGTTTGGAAGAGAACTGGAGCAGGGTCTGGAGTTTGTCTAATGTTGGTTATGGACAGGGCTGGCTGACAAAGGTGGGATCTACAAGTGTGTTGGTTTACAGACGGAGATTGAACAGAATTACTAGTGCTGGCAAGCAGGAAAAGCAAGCAGACCAGACAAAGTTTTCTAGCAGATTAAGTGGCTGGTACGTTAACAACACCTACTGTGCACAACCCAACAATCCAGCGGGGACTGGATGGGAGGCCTAGGTATTTATGGAGCTTGTGGAGTGGCAGGATGGAGATCAACCACACTGGTGGCCTGTACTACGAAGCGAGGTAACTGTCTTATCCAGGTAACTTCAGGAGTAACTTTGTTACGTCGTGTGTAACTTCCATACTAAGAAAGGTGGATAGGTGTTATCCGAGATCTGTTGTCATGGCAATTTACGCTGCATCTGTAAACTGTCCGAGCAGGTTTTGTTCGTGGTTAACTTGAGGGTTACCCTGTGGGCTACACACCACATCTGTACTCAGTGTTAAAGATGGGAAGTAGGATACACACCACGTGATAAAATACTTTTAGATTTCATCCTGACTTGTTCTGCTGTGGTTGCAGCTGAAATGAAGTTATTCTTACAGCGAGCCCTGCAGCCTCTGTGATTTTAGAGAGGAGATTTTAATTAGGCTAATTAACAGGACAGTTTCTGAGATGTAGCCCATCTGTAGGCTATAACTGAGTGTTTTCACATATTTAGATTGACTATTTTATGTGTCAAAAAAATAAGAAGCCAGGTTGAGGGTCAATAAACCGAGAGAAAAAAATCCTAGATGAAAGTGTCAAATTTACAAGAAATTCAGAAATTTCCTGAAATTAAAGTCATAAAAAATCTAAATCAGTCTGGTGTTTTCTTCTGAATACGCCCAATCCACGGCAAAGTTTCTAAGGTGCATGATAATATAGGTTAGTGTTGTGGGCTAACCTCACTGCTAATTTTCCACTGCATGCATAATACACGGCAGGAAGTGTGTGATGTTGCAGCCTTGGAAAGTGAAGCGATGTGGTTCCTTGAAAAAAAACCCACCCATGAGAGTTTCTCTCATAAATGTATAAATGTCGGAGATGTTAAAATTCAAGTTTTTAACTTGTAGATTTGTGATTATTAGTTTCTCGTAAATCTACCACAGTAATCTTGAAAATTCTTTCCCCCTCTCCCCTGGCTCCAATTTCTGTATTACAATGGACATTATGTGCTGTTGTACCTTTACATCTTAATGATATGACAACGAAGTGCCATGAAGAGTGTTCAGAAGGTTATCGGTGCTTTTCAAAGGGACCCATTGACTCTACATTGACGATAAAAGGGCTTGGAGACATGCAACCAAATATTTTACGTGATGATTTTGATACAATACATTTAAGATTTGTGACAAATTCTTTCTGTCACCAAAAGTGATTATAGAGTCATCATAATGAAAATAAAGTAATGCAGAGTCAGTGTTGAGTTTGATCTGAAGATGTCATTTCTCTGCAGATAAGCGCTAAAAGTCTTGATCTCAGTAAAGCGGTTCGTCTTCTTGAGGATCCCTTGACAGTAAGTTGATCTTATATGATGAATGTCATCAGACTTGTTTTATGTTATATCTTGTCATACTGTGTATTATGTTTATTAAAGGCTAACCTGAAGGAGAGGCACCTTTTTGTACTGAAGAAACTTCTGAAGAGAAGCCAAATTGGCTTTGTATCCTTTGGTCTGGATTTAGTCTTCTGAATTACAGTTCTGATAACCAGACTTCTCTTTCCAAGAAGTGTCTGTCTTTTCCAAAATAAAGCTTTCTCAGGTGACACACACTGCGGCAGATAGTCAGATTTTCCTCATTACTGTCCCCTGTCACAGTTATGGGAATACATTTGCTCTCATGCAACCTGAACACTGAGTCAAACCTTATTCCCAAGACTCTAATTTATTTCTGCATCACTGTGTCTGTCAGCGTTTTCCCCGTTCAGAAATAACCTCAGTTATCATGATGGCTCTTTGCCCAATCACTTCCCCTCACTGAGATTTATTTCTATATACACAAACACTTTGCCAAAATGTTAAAACTTCCTAAACTATTTTAAGCATTTGAAGGAGCTGACAGGCATCGCCAAAATACTCAACATCTGTGCAGAGAAAGTGAAGGATCACCCTGAATATGTGCCCATTTTGTGTGATGCCCTTAAAATTTGTAGGTAAGACACTGAAAATTTTTTAACCTACAAGGAAAAGACTGATATGTTTTGTTGTGATGTCACCTGAACATCCACAAGTTGCTTTGCTTCATCCCAGGCTTCCCTTCCTGAAGGAGAAAGCATCTGATGAGCTGAACTACGCTCAGGACGTTATAGAGTTCTTCTCTCACATGGGTACACAGATCAGTATTAAAGAAGAGAGCAGTTTCTTCTAACAGGAGTGACGATGACGAGTGACTCTGACCAAAGTGTTTCTGTTGGCAGGGTGTCTGATGAGGGTGTCAGATGCTGAAGTGAGACAACAGATAGTTGAGTCTGTGAAATCATTCTACAGCTGTGTGACTCGTAAACAGCTGCTCGATGGTACGGACCGCCCCACCAAGCCAAAGCCTTGGACTTTCCACTCTGACAACCGATTTTCTAGACTTTCGCTAAGTGAGGCTCTCTCAGGTCTTCTGTGGTGGCATGCTTGTGTTTTTGTTTCTTTGTTTCTGTCTCTCTTTCATGTTTTACCTTTTTTGGGGGGTACAGAATCTTACTGATTCTGTATTATGAACCAGTGACCGCTTATCAATCTTGGTGAATATAATTGTCAAACTGATTGTACAACTGTAAACACATTTGTACACATACAATTAATATTGACTAATGTGTTTTTAATACATTTGAACAGATAAAAATACTTGCATGGCTTTCAGTCACCTACTATAAGTTAGACTCAAGTTTTTATGTTCCCTTGAATCAAAATTTCTATGATGTTTTTATACATTTATGTATTTACTAAATCTGTTATTCTTCCTGTCTTCTTGTATCCTGATTTTCATTCTTTTTTATCAACTTTTTCTTACTTTTTTGCTATTGGTGTTCTTTTCCCCCAATTTCCTTAAGGGTTAAGATTGACTTTGAACAAAAATGTGTTGTTTTTCTTATTTAATTTTTCTTTCTATCTTTATATTTGTCCGTTTTAATAAATCATTTGTAATGTATTATTAATATTTAATTTATTTATTTAACTCTGTTTTATCTGCAGGTCTCCAGCCAACCTCTCCAGGCTACAGGCTGCAGCTGCTGGAGCGCAGTGACCTGGCTCAGTCGTTGCTCCTCTCCATGTCTGCTCTGGAGAACCAGCCCACCATTAAGCTGCAGCTCCTGCAGACACTTCAGATCCTCTCCAGCTCCTCTGGTCAGTAACTGATTTTATTCTGGATCCACAAAGGCAGTGGAGGAGGGAATCTTTCAGACATGCCAATCCAAACTATGACCTCCTTCATTAGAAAAAGTAGAAAAAGTCATCTCTCAAGAGCATAAATCATCTTATTACTGAAGAACAATCAGAAAAACAGTGATTTTAAGTGTCCTTGAGTCAGTTTCAGCAGGTCAGTGTTTGTTTTTTTTTAATCATCAATCACATCTCTTTAATCGCATTTCATTTTCATTTAACCACAGATTTGAACTGTGTGTTAATACTGAATGCACGAGGAGCAGAGACGATCTGTCTCCACATGAACGAACCAGACCAGTCCGGTCAGGTCCTGTTCTGCTCCTCCGAAATCCTCTGGAACCTGCTGGAGAGAGGCAGCAAAAAGGAGGTCACTGCTCAGCTCAGCAACATGGAGTGTGTCGTGTACGTGTCTCCTTTAGGTTTAAGATGTTATCAAATGTGGCTGATTAGGACTGTGAGTGTGAGATATTTAAATTTTAAGATCTAGAGGAATGTTCTGTGAGTCAAAAATGTATTACCCTCCATCCTCTAAAACAAGTTGGTCTACTTTTGTTCTCTCATTCTGTACAAATAGATATTAGATATCTAACTTTTTGTTCATTTTGTATCTCAGATCTCTGAAAGAAGCGTTTCTTCATCAGCTTATGAACGGTTTCCGACATTCTGACCTCCAGCTCAGAAATGATCTGCTTGTGATTACGACTCTCATTGCTGAAAATCCCAACTCTCTGCTTATTGTGAGTACATGATTGGTAATTGTATGATGGCAATGCATTGAGGTGGGCATTTTTAGTGTGTAAAATGTGCCTCTACAATTTCCTTAACATCATGTTTCTCATTTTCAGGAGAGTTTATTTGCCAAACAGCTTATAGCTTTCGTCACATTTCCAGAGAGTGAGGCCACTCTTTCCTTTTATAAGTTTTGTATTTACATTTGAATTATTTATTATGTGAGCACAGTAGCATATTTTATGATAACAAAATGCTTGATTTATGTTTTAGTGAAAAGTCACAACCCTTTGGTTCGCAACCTAAAGCTGAACTTCAGTAACGAAGACTTGAAAATGAAGAAGTTGCTGTTGAATCTGTTGGTTATAATGTCGAAGGACTTAGCTGCCCTGCAGGTCAGTCACACACAGTATCTCTGTAATTGTTTGAATAAATATTTAAACATTTTAAAGACTCTGCTTGTCCTCTCTATGTTTTCCTCTCCTAGCTTTATAAAGAAGAAAGAGTTATGCTTGCTCTGCTGACGCTCATGAAGTCGCCTGTTGCCTCATCTGAGCGCCGGTCAGGTTCACGTCACTGGTCCTCCATCCAGCAGGAGGAGCTCCAGCTGCAGGCGCTGGCCACCCTGGCCACTGTCGCTCCGCTCATGTTGGATGACTACATGTCCTGTCAGGGAAATGCGTGTCTACTGCTCCTGTTGGACTGGTGCGTCCGGCAAGGTGAGGATGCAGCAAAACATAGGAACAGACAAACAATAGACTAAAAAGAGCCGGTCTTTTATCTGAAAGGTCAGAGATCAAACACTGTCAGTGCCGTCATCTCTTACAATTAACTACACCTCAATTTACAGTTTAATTTATATAATCTCTTGACAGTTTAACTATTTTCAGGGAAAGATTGACAATTCAACTGCTTCCAAAGTTTAAACGTGAAACTAAAATTTCAAAATCCTACAGATCTTAAACAACAGACACCTCAGTTGATTTTAGTGATTCATCTTCAACTACAACTCCCATACAGTCTCTTTCAATCTACTTTCCTCTTTCACACTTTAGTGGGACTTTCTCATCTTACACTTCAACTGACACCTCAATTATTTTCATCTCTTGACAGTTTAACTATTTCCAGTGATTACATACAAATGAACAATTCAACTGCTTTCAAGGCTTAAATTTGCAACTTTCAAAACCCTTACAGTGCTTCAACTTCAACTGACACTTCAACTGCATTGAGAGCTTCAACTTCAACTACAATTCCCATACAACACTTCACATTCAAACAATTTTAAGACATTGTAATCCTGTTAACAGTGTTTGCACCTTCAAAAACACTTTCTTCTAGTTTTCAACAGTGTCAACAACTTTTTTTTTTAAACAACAGAATATTTATGTTATATTATATTTCCTCCTTTCTCCCAGATTCTTACTTTGGTCAGGGTCACAGCTTTCACGGCACAGGAGGAAGAAGCAGTAAGAAAGCTCAGATGCGTCATTGTATCAGAGTTATGAGATCTGTGACGTCTATAGGTGAAGACTCAGTCAACCAGGACCTTTGTGATCAAGGAACCATCAACCAGCTCTTAGGTAAATTAGATAAAAAAAATGTATTTTACTTACACGTCACAAAGTGCATCAGCAAAACACGTCCCTTTCTTACAGACATATGTGGTGTATGTTCTCAGGTATTTTGATGCAGATGGAAGCAAGTCCAGATGAGGAGGATGTCGTCACCCTGGAGATAAAGTCAGACATTCAACTGATACTTTCAGCACTGTGTGAGACTGACATGCACAGAAAGGTAAAACTGAGACACTGACAGAAGTCACTGAGCTAAGAACAGCTAAGAAGGATGTCACTATGTGGTTTAGCATCTTTCAAATTATTGTGATTGTTTGTAGAAAAATAAGACAAGGCTGTTGGAAGTTTGTGTGGTCAGTGTTGTTTGCCACCTTATTTTATCCGTTACCACTTGGTTACCACCGAAGAATGACATTTTAAATACCAAACATAGTGTCTTTCATCAAAAGATGAATAAATTTAATCTGCCTGCCAACTCTAAATTCTAATATGATTTACTTTCTAAATTTCTTTGTTTATATTTGTCAGCCAGATGTCATCCTAATTCTTGTAACATACAGTATGTCCATATTGATGGTCCTGTTACGTTGTACCACAGGAACTGTTTGGCTCAGAAGGAGTTGAGATGGCCGTTCACTTCCTGAGGAAAGGCGCCAACAAGTTCTACAGCGGTCTGGGACACAACAAGCTCATCCTTACTACAGTGGACTGTGTGTGGTCAGTTCCGCTAAACCTCAGCACACTTTGATAGATTAACTGGCTAACTGATTTTTTTTGTGGTATTTATTATTATGCAACATACCAACAAATTCCCTGCGATGGACTGGTGACCTGTCCAGGGTGTACCCCACCTTTCGCCCGATGTCAGCTGGGAATGGCTCCAGCCCCCAGCGACCCTGTACGCAGGATAAGCGGTTGACGATGGATGGATGGACCAACAAATTCCACATTTTCACTTGTCATATACAGAATCAATTTAGCTGTAAATTGATTCTGTAAATGACAAGTGTGATTCTGATCAATGTGTCCTCCAAAGATATACTGATGTCTCACTTCTTTTCAGGACCTAGCCCCTGAACAGGGACACAGGCCTCGTGTCCTCACATGGTTTCAGAAATCAGATTTGAATTTGCCTAATGTGTCCTGGTTGCTTTCAGGCATGTAACTATTGTTGAGGACACAGAGGTCATGTCTTAAGTGTTCATTTTCATTTTTCACACACACATTTTTCAATTAATTTAAGAAAGGAATGAATGTTGATGATTATTTTCTTAAATTAGAATTTAATCTAGAGGAATTTGTATTATATTTAACTTTATACTCAATTAAATGACTAAATTCAGGTAATGGACATACTAAACTAACATTACATTGCCTTAAAGCTTTCTGAACATCCCAAGACACATGAAGTGGCACACTGTAAATACAGTAAAATTAACTTGTGGGTCTTAGAGAATTTGGTGGACAAACAGGAAGGAAAGCACATACAGATTTCCCACAGTTGAGAAGGTCTGTGTGTGTCCCATTAGGTCCTGTATTGTAGGCTGCTACACCACAGAAGATTATTTTTTGGCCAAAGAGGGAGCGTATCTTCTGTTGGATCTACTCAATGTAAGTCGCTGATTGATTCCCAATGGCTGAAACTTAACTGAAGTTACTGTTGTATGCACATAAATATAAAGTACTGATTTGAAAGTGTTTGGGTATCTCTATCTCTAACAGTCAAGCCCCAGATGCATACACTCCATCGTCCTTGCCACCCTGCTGGAGTTATGTGACAACCCAAACACAATGTCTCACATCCTGAGCTGGAAAGATGACGGCGGTCAGACAGCTCCCAGACTCCTGCTGCAGCTGTGGAGGGAGGAGGAGGAGGAGCTGAAAGTCAGCCGAAACCAATACGGCGGGATCGCAGGTCAGTCTGCAACTAGACTGTAAACAACGAGTCAATGACAAGACTTTACATTAAGATACACCAACATCCTCTTGTTATCTAGACTGACTTGTTGGTTAGTGGCGATGGTGCAGTGAGAGATACCTGGGTTCGATTCCCACTGCAATACATCCACCAATGTGTCCCTGAGCAAGACACTTAACCCTTAGTTACTCCAGAAGCATGCCACCTCTGACATATATAGCAATTGTAAGTTGCTTTGGATAAAAGCATCAGCTAAATGAGCAAGTGTAAAGATAGAGGTCTGTCAGATCTGAACATGACAGCAACAGGTGATGTAAATGGTAACCCTTCACTCACATGTTTCAACTTATTCTCTGAATTAGAGTCATTCTTTTCAAAGTGCAAAGTGTCAGATATTGTTGATAAGGGGTCCAGCACACACCAACCAAAGAATCTGCTAAGAAAGAGTTCAGATCAAAGAGGCCTTGGTCCAGACACATCTTCATGACTGATCAATCATATTTGATAAACCTAGAAGCTGCAGTGTTATCTTTCCCTGTTATTTTCTGCTTTTTCACTTTTGACTTTAAGATCCCCAGAAGCCCATCCTCAGTCTTTACCAGCAGGGGGACACCCAGCTGCCATTTCCTGCCCACATACCGAGTGCAGCAGTGCTGGAGATATCAGAGAACCTGCGGTCAAAGATTTACTCCATCTTCTGCAAACTTGGTAAAGCAGTTATTAAATAATTAGACTGGATTTTAACTGCTGTAAATATATTTTCACTTCTTTAAACAACTTATGTAGATAATGCTATTTTATCATGTAGCCGAGAAGCCATAGTCTAAGACATGTTGTAGACGTACTAAACATTTGTTGTTAAACCATCTAGATCTAGATCAGTGTTTTAGTCCTACATGGATGGAGTTATGACATGTAAGGTCAACACATGATTAATGATCACAGAAGTTGTCATTTACCCTAATGCAAAATATTGTAATGATGTTATAGGAAAGTATCATGGTAGAGGCTAGTTACATTTGTGCTATGATAAATTTGCACAAAGCAATGTATGCTTAACTTTTAAAACTGTGCTGTGAAAGGTATTTATTACTTTTGCAGGTTTTCAAGACCTTCCTGGATTGTCAAGAAAAGATTATGTGACCTTGAGCATCGTCAGGAGATATCTGGACTTCAAGGTAGAACTGCTGTTTATGCGGCAAAGAAAATGCCAGTGCTAGATATGAAATTACTGTAAAACTTTAATTAAAAGCCTAGTCCCAATTAGATGCCGGTCCCTTTTACTGGCCTGGTGTGGTTACACACTTTGACATATAAACACAGGTCTCAAATAGAAGCCTGGTTTGGTTTTTATAGATGCTCTTTGGATTATTAAAACCAGGTCGCTCTCTCGAGCTTGTTCTAAGCTGCGTTGATTATGCATACAAATATAACTTTTGTCAATATGGACTTGCTACACATCATTAGATCAGTTAGATTCTCCGCAGTTCAATTGCTAATTTCATTTTACCTGTATGGTAAAGAACAAAGAATTGAAATAAACATTTTGATAGTAGCCTATTTCACATCTTTTCTCTGCATGAGTAGAAAGGAATTAAAGGGCTGTCCCATATAGGCAAGGTGAGTTCAGTGTTTGAAGCAAATAAAAGCCTGGGCTATTAATTGACATTTTATGGTAGTTGTAATAGCACCAATTGTCATCAGTCATTTTTACACAATTAGAACAACTTGAAACCATGTTGAAAAGTCGTTTATGTATTACTTTAAGGATTAACAAATTGAGCAGAGCCAAATATGGGACAGAAATGTTCCTGGTTGTATATTTAAGCTCTAGAATTCTACATTCATTTTATACAACATATTTCCTGCAAAGATCTTTAAGTGTTATTTGAATGCAGCAAAAAAAAAGACTTTTCTTTCATATGGCACAAAAACACAGAAAGACTATATATAAACATGCGGTTGTCTGTCGTGGTGCTGCAGGTCGGTGAGGTGTGGGAAGAGATCAGCAGGGAGCTGAGTTTGGATGGCGTGAGGCCGATCACCCCTGATGAGGAGGCTCTGAGTACTATCTTGAAGATTGCAGAGGACACAGCGAGGAGGGTCTCAGCAGAACAAAACAGCATCCTGGAGCAGCAGGAGAAGGAGGACATCAGCGAGGAGGAGCTCATGTACACAGAGGTGCTGAGAGATTAATTCAGCCAATACAAAGAGTAGAAAGTCGGCAACACACAAAACTGGTTTCTAGTTTTTTGGCCATTGCTGATATGTTGCTGTGGATCTGAGAAAACTCAGAATATACCGCACAATGGCACATGTATCCCACAAATGTGTCAGTAGTGTATTTTGAGGCAGATCTGGACTCAGATCAATTGTAGAGCTTTGACTGAGTGCTGTCTTTGATTGCTTGGATATTTTCAATGAAGTTAATTTGTGTCTGGGACTTGACCTAATCCATGTAGGCACAGCAGACATCTTGTTTTCATAGTTTGCACTCTGATTTGTTTATTTTTTGGTGTCATGGTATTGCAGATTAAGTCTCATTGGAAGCAACGGGAGCTCACAGCCAAGTTATGGGACAGTTACGTTTCAAAGACTTCAAACTATGAAGTCCTGAAGGTTTGATCTTTAACATACACAGATATAACCTCAAGTCATCATTGCTGTTACAAAGAATTAATTTGAATAACTATGTTTTAAATAAATAAAAAACAAAAAAACAAAACCACTGTGACTTTTTTTCCTGTTTTTTCTGTACAGGAAGTAAAAGCACGGAGGGAGAAATACATTGAATCATCCAGAACCAAACCAAAGCATGAGGATGCTGCAGTTCATCATACAGAGGTCTCTCACAACATAAGATATTAGAGTATTGTGCTGCTCACTGACAGTAATTTGGCTAAAGCAGATAAAAACCTGCAGTATGTTCAGCAAGGTCGTTGACTCAGTTTCACAAGACGTAATCAGAGGTTTCCTGGCCTCTACAGGCAAACAGTAGGAATATCAACAGTATCTTCAACAATATCTATCTGCACAAAAGGGAGAAATATGCTAGCTGCTAAACGCAGAGATATAACAGAGGCATCTAGTTAAGGGGTTACATGCAATATACTACTGCTTTTTCATTAGAGCTGAAGGCCTGAAAATTGGACTTTTATCTTTATTAAAAAGGCTTGCCGTTTATCTGTTTGGCAAAAAAGCCAAAAACTGTTTTGAAAGCCAGAAATCTGAACCTGGGGAAATAATCATTAAGGATATGATCATTAATGAGGACGTAATTATTGCCAGTGTGGTAATTTTGTGCACTGAGGCTGTAAAAAGTTACTTTTTTAACACTTTAGACCTCTCAAGTTAGATCAGTTTTAATGTACCACTAAGGGGCTCATGACATAGAGCTGTGTAGAACAACTGAGAGAGCCGCTCACTGATGATTACACATGTTGCGTTCTGCTGTGTGTTTCAGCATTTCATCGGGCAGGTCCTGTCTGTAGAGCGCACAGATAGTCAGGGGCCTGCAGGAGTGAAACTGACCCTGGCCAGAGCTCCCATCGAGGCTGCATGTCAGGACGAAGTGGGACCCACAACACAGGACCCAGAATACTTTAGCACCATATCTATAAAAGACTGATGACAGGAAAGATAATGATTTACTGCAACACAAAATACAAACAGTACATTTTAACAGACCAAACATTAACATGTTTATTATGAATAGTTGTTTATTTCTAAAAGAAGTATTTTATTTGACTTTTGCAGCAAATGCAGACATGAGGTCACTTGTTGTGCACAATCAGCACCTTGTAGTCTAATCCACCACCAATCCCCTTATATAGACAAACACACACAGTGTAGTAAACTGACTGGTCTTTGTGGCCTCTCAAATCTTGTGTCAGCATGTCTGATGCACATTACAACTGTTAAATTCATGTGTATTAAATAAATAAAACAACATAAGCATTACATGAAAGTGTTTTGGATGGAAAATGTAGTTAACATGAAAATTGGTTAAAGAATTAAACCTTTTGTCCACAGAATTCAGATTTTTAGATATGTTTCTATGGCGCAATTATCCAACATGCTTCATTTATACAACCAACAGAGCAACATGAACAGTAAGACCTTGAACAGTCAATGTAGCATCATGGGAACTGACGCCTTATCAAAAAACAACCACTAAATTACTTTAACATTAAAAAGTCCAGTAAAAGTTAAGGTTTATGTCAAAGCCTGCAGCTCAGTGTCCATTTAGGACTAACAATATTTTCTCTTTAGTGTTTTTGAGTTACATAAGTTGCTGCAGCGCATTAACACACATGTTCCTTCAAGCGTGCAACATGCTGCACACAGCCCCTTCTTCTTCTTCTCTCTGCTCTCACCCTTTTTACTGGCTGGATGGAGCTTTTCATGCAGCTTTGTGAGTGTGTGTGACTGTGAGTGTGTGTTGAGCTGGACTGAGCCCCTCAGACTGGGATGTTCACACTGCACAAAAGAGCGAGGACACGCCTCTTCAGTATGGCAGGCTGCCACTGTTTGTTCAGGCTGCTGAGGGGCTTCACATGCAGCCTGTCTGTCTACGGGTACTGAGCTGCTGATGAAGGTGATGGTGAGCGAGGGTGCTGCTTTTGGATTCTTGCTGGGTGCTCATCATCTCCCTGAGGACCAGTTAACTTCAAACTGTGAGACAGACTTTGTATTCCCTAAAAACTTTTGTTATTTACTATATACTTTCTTCTAAACCTGGCTTTATATTGACATTGTAAAGACATTTAAAATGAATAAATTAACATTTAATATTTTTAAATACTGGAAAACGGTGAGAAACAACTTTTGCTTGAGTGGAGCTGCAACAACTTTGTGTTTAAGAATTGTTTCACAAATAACTGATTTGGCTTCTGTCTGTACTAACAGGTGATAAATATTAATATAACTAAACTTTTTATGGTATTTTACTGGTTCAATTCAGGTGTGGAAAGGCTGCGTGAATATTAGAGAAGTACTGATACTACTGAACTACTGAAGTACTGAACATTACCTATAAAAGAAGATGAGATGACTTGCAATAAAAGTGAAAATAAAAAGGCTCTTGTGTTGGAATTAAATATATGACCAGGGTGAAACTGACAAGTTTGCATTGTTGCTCCGCAGGCTGCAAGTAATTCTGTAATCTTTGTTTTCATAAAAGTAAATTGCCAAACGTCTATTAATTCCAGAGACAACATTTTCTTTAATGTTTAATGTTTTTTTTGGGTCACAAACAAAAAGTAAAAACGTCTTGTAAGCAAAACTTGTGGAGGAGTGATGACATTATTTCCTCCCCTGCAGGAAAGTTGTTGTCTCGTCTGAGAAGCTCCAGCAGCAGAAATGATCATCAGACTGGGAAGACTGACACCCGGATACTTCCGTCTCCTCCAGGTGGGTCACAACCACTCAGAGCACAAAAGTATTACATCTGTCTTTATGTTTTGTTTGACTCTGCTCCACAGCTGAAACATTTCTGTCCCCAAAAGTATAGTTTCACACAGAGAAATATGTTGTATCTCTATTCTAATTTAAAGAGCACTAATTAATCAATCCACTCACAGTGTTTTTATTTCAGCTTCATTTCATACATTTTTTATAGAATTGCTTTGAGTGAGTACAGTGATAGACAACAAGTAAATTAATATTTTACAGAGTGCTGATGCTGCTCATCTCAGGAGGTTGTGTTATATAACCTGTTAAGACTCACAGCTCATGTTGCATAGAAGAGGCTGTATGAAAGGGAAACGTTATGAATGTAGAGTGGAGGAGGGTGAGCATACACTGCTGTCTGCAACAGTGTCCTTTCTGATAATACCATTGGGGGGGTGCCAAGTCTACTAATTCTACTCACATTAAACAGTTCAAATCAGCAACATACTGAAAATACTGCTGCTGCACTATTAAAAGTGATGCACTAGATTGTCACTAACCACGGATCTTTGTACTGAACTGAACTAAATTTAACTTCAGATTTGTAATTTCCACACCCACTGACTTGTTGAAGTCTCAGTTTCCTCTCTCTTCAGCTGACTGTCTTGCCACACAAGTGCAAATGGAAAGGAAAGTCTACTATATGATGTATTGTTCACTGGTCAATTTAAAGCTACTAAGTGCAGCATTTTAACATTTTCAACTGAGGCTGATGGGAATGTCATTTGTTTTGCAGATATTTGTTCTTTAACCAAAGCATTAGACAAATAAAAAGTTTGACCTGATGATTGTCGCTAAATGAAAAGTCACACAAGTTATTGCAATTATTCCTGAGAGACTGAGAGGAATATCTGTCCATCCAGTAGTTGTTGATATATATCAATCTGGAAGTGACCAAAAAAGCACACACCCTTCCAAAATCCCCCACCCCTGAGACCACATCATTCACACTGAATGAATTCACACCGCACCAAAAGTTATCAGGATTGTCACATTTTTCAACAAAAAAAACAAAAATAAAGCTGCCGTAATCACATAAAATTTAAAATAGTGTTAAATGTGTCTGTTTTTCTTAATCTTTCTGTCCGCCCTGTCTACAGAGGCAGGTCTCAGGTGAGGTCCGGATACAGCCACAGAGCAGCCTCATCGATCCCATTGCCATAACGATGGCCACAGTGGGGATGGGAGTGTCTCTGTACAGCACCAGGCAGATGGCAGAGCGAGTCCATCTGAAGCATCCAAACGCCTGAGATCAATGAGAAACACTCAGCCGCAGACCGACGCCGCCTGACAGAGCGGCTCTGTGGGTCGTTTGTGTGACAGAATGTTTGTTTGTGGATGTTGGAGAAGGTTTGAGATGGAAGAGGTTGAGAGAGTCACTGTGTTTGTGGTGTTTGCTTGAAGGAAAATCTAAGTGTCCCAGGAGTAAAATGAGAGTCATTGTTCAGACCCAGCAGGAAGATTTGTCATTTGTTCAAACTATTTACACTAGCTGTGCAATCACAACATTCATAATGCAAATACAAGTGTAGTTTGACCAGTCTGCACTTTTCTTCACTGAGTGTATTTTAATGCAATAAATGAGCGTATCATCTGTCAACAGGGATCCCAGCAGCCATTATTATTTCCTGCATTTTATAGTCAACTAACACAAAAAAAGGTTTAATAAAAATAACCACAGAAAATCTAATAAAATAATTATGGTGAAAATTCAATCAGCATACAAGCTTATTGTATTTATTGATATTAGTCACAAACACATTTCCTACAAAATATTTCACTACATTCATTAGTATGTTGTACTTAAGCACCTTTCACCCTTTGATTATAATATTTATGCTGTTTTCATCAACATCTTCAGTTTGCTAAATTTAAATGTCATGTTTGTTCTAGAATTGAATAAAAGAAAATGTCTGCAAATGTAAAATCCCACTAAAGGACTCACATGATTTACTTTGTATAGTTACAAGTTTGGTAACTTGATGTAAATCTTAAATAAATATGTTCACAGTTTGTGTGCAGACTTCTATATATTGATATTTCTGAGGTGTTTTTGTAACATTAAAACAGCTCCATGGTTCTGAGGCTTCATCCATGTGGAAAAGTTTTTCAACTGAACAATCTGTATGGAGTAACTCATGTGGATGAAACTCAGATGAGACTTGGTGACATACTGTAAATGAGATGCTGAGACGATGTTCTTCAAAGCTGTACAGAGCGATTCAGCTTCTTTCAACTTTACTGTTTTGGTTCTGTCTCACCGCTCTCATCAGTGTCAAAAAACAGCTAAAAGAGACTATTATTGGTCTTACATTCATTGTAATTCGTTGCCCCGTAACTGCTCGATGTGTAAATTATTGATAATATTAACTGTTTGCCAGTAGTGTCAGTTTATTAACTTAAAAGGTGACGATATGTCAATGTTGTGTTTACAGCTTATAATGCTGCCCTCAAGTAGCCAAAAGCTGTGTTATTCTTAGGAAAAAATGCTAAAAAAAAAAGGACATCAAATCCTGGATTTTATAACCTTGTCATACTACGGCATACCTGTTATTTTATAGGACCCAAATATCCCAAAATTTGGTGTAGCTAAGCGGATATTTCTAAATAAGTGGGGACAGTTTGTTGGTTCCATTATATTTCTTTTACAACCCTCCACATCCCTGCCAAAAACAAACAAATTCTAGATTAATGTTTCCATCGGCCTCTGTTGGCCAGACAGTAGCCAGAGGAGGCGGTCTGACACTGTGGGAACCAAACATGGTTGCTGGTTTTACTAATTCTTCTCTTCAGGCAGGCAACACAGATGAAGAGGACATGTGAGCTGTGAATTATTTGTTTATTCTAAAACTGTAAGCTATTTCAAAGAACAGTTTATTGTGCATTACTTTATTTGAGTATTTGAGAGAATAGTTGGCATCATGTTAGGTCATCAGAGTGACAGTAGGGGCCGATATGGTCAAAAAGGAATTTAAAACTCATTAAATGTCATAAATAAGAGACAGATATCCAGTGCAATGCCAATAACTGGATTCTTGTCCATGAAATCTGCCCCAAAGAGGCCCTTGAAAGAAAAATAAACACAATCCAAAAACTCCAGGAAAGGTTTCAGAGTCTGCTCAAATAAAAAGAATTTAATGATCAATGATTGAAGAGCAGATTGACTCCTTACTCTGGCTCATCTGGTTAACAGGCATTATGCTCCTCTCGTCACGATTCATCAAACTTCCCCACTGAGAAACCTTCAGTACTGCATGTTGTCGCACTGTAACGCACTGCATAAATAATTGTATGGATAAGTGCTGCTGTAATATTGATCTTGCACTGGTGAACTGATGCTTTCTTTTCTTTCTCAGTTTTGACAATTTGTAAAAGTAAATAAACTAAAATGACAAAAATTTATACAAAATAATATAAATCACAAAGGCAATGTTTATCATATATGTCCCAGACGGTGAAATACATCAGACCACTTAACAAACTTACTTCACTCAAGTATATGTAGAAATACCACACTATAAAAATTCTTCATTACAGGTCCTGCATTTAAAATTTTACATTAGTATATGTACAGATGTAAAATGTACTTACAGCTCCTGTGTTATATATCATAAGTGCTGAAAAGTAACTAACTACATTTGCTCAATTATTGTACTTGCTTTGCTTTCCATTTGATGCTACTTTATACTCCACTACATTTATTCGATGATAAAGTTTAGTTACTAGTTATTTTGCAGATGGTCTATTTATCTGATTATTAATACAAAATATAAATCAACTAGTAAATTATTTTATATTAAATGAGATTAAGCTACCCAGCAGTCGGCACCTTTTTCCAGCTGCGACATTAAGGTGATGTAAGCATTAATGCATAAATAATTATAATACAATTATATTATATATTATTTTTAAATGGGCCATTCTGCATAATGAGTACTTTTACTTTTGGTACTTATAATGTTAATTTGATGCTAGTACTTTTCCTTAAGAGAGATTTTCAATGCAGGACTTTACTAATTTACTTTACATAACAGAGTATTTACACTTTTGTATTGCTACTTTTACTTTAGCAGGTCTGTACTTCTTCCACCACTGTGCATCATTTTATTATTGGATCACTATCATTGATGCATTAACATACAAGTGGTACTTTCATGTTGTAACTGGCCGAGGTAAAAGGTCAACATGTGGGTAGATTATTCTATCCAACAATATATTAATCTAACAATGCATCAAACTGATCGTTTTATCTAAAATGTTAAACTAGTAACTTATTTAACTGCAAAATAAAGAGTAAAAAGTACAGAGTACGTTTAGAAATACTCAAATACAAGTACATCAGAATTGTATTTAGGTGCAATACTAAGTATTTTCCACCACAGACGTCTACATATTGTGGAGGCTGCATGGTGGTCGTTGTGGTCCTCCTCTCCAGCAGATGTCACTTTCACTCTGGCTAAACTTCGGAGGGGCTGCGTGCAATGGCTGCGTGTTAAAGTGGAAAAAAGTTCAGCATGAGAGATTCCTGTGAGGTGGACATGGACCTTGCTAATTGATGCAACTCATCAGAGTTACATCGGAGGAGAAAACAACAGTTTAGGATCAAACAGGCCAACGACACTTCAGACTTTAAATCACCTCAGCAGGCGAGAAGTGTGTATATTAACACGGATGACAGCAACTTGTTTGTTTGCAACATAAACCATCGTTTGTTCTTCTACAGCTATGCGCAAATTTAAGATTCATGGGGAGTACGTGCGTAAAAGTGCGCGCTTCTCCGTGGCGCACCACGCTCGCTTTCCGTACTATCCTCATCTTCACCTTCATCGGATCTAGAGCTGAGCAGCACCAGCGGTTCAGCCGTCAAACTGTCTGAAAATGGCTGTGCTCCGTCCCGCCCGGAGGGGCTACAGTCTGCCTCTGACGGGGTTAATGTGCGTTTTGCTGCTCGTTTTCGTCTCTGCTGCCTCCGCGAGTCGTGATGTTTCAGGAAACAATGAGACGTGGAGAAACCCACCCCGAGCGCCAGAGAATGACTCCCATCACAGAAATAACTCCAATGCTCACAGAAAGGCTTTCCCCGTCCTCTCCTTCAACTACGAGCACGTCAAGAAGCCTTTTGAGATCTCTCTGTGGATCCTCCTGGCCCTGCTCATGAAACTTGGTGAGTTACATGTCCAAGATTACAGAAGGATTTCCTGCTGCCAAAATAATTAAGAATACCACCCATGGGTTATTGTAAATGGAGGGGTAATGATTATCACGACTGGAGGGAGGGGGTAGGCTCCAAAACTGTGTTAGTTAGTTGGGTTCAGATTTGGGTCTGAAAGTTTGTGAAATGGTTCAAGTTTATTTCTATAGAAAAAGTCTAGCAGTACAACAGAAAAGAGAAGAGAAATACAAATGAATACCTTACCCTAACAGCAGTGAAGAAGAAATACATTATGACTGAGGATGTGAAACTACTAGCTGCTGAGTTATCATAAAGTAATTGGAACAGAGTTAAATAAATCTCGCTTTTTCTGTGCAAGAAAGCATCTTTTCTATATAGCATGTTTCATATACATACATGCACACACAGGCATACATATAAACCGTACATGATTTACAAAACTAGCCAAACAGGTACAGGAAGGCAGTTACTTTTTATTTCTGTGTCATGCCAATGTTACCTGCATCTTCTGTTAACACATGTACACAACTGAAAGGAAAAGCAAACATCAGTTACAACATTATATGTACTATAATATGTATACTTTTAAATTATAATTTCATATAGATTGTACACCAAAAACTGCCAACAGTTTATCCTGATAAATGTTTTCTCATCTTTTAGACTTTCTTCATGAAACTGGTTCATTTTAAATGTTCCACGTGTGAGCAGCCAATGCAGTCTTTGTGAATCATCCATATTTACAAAATAAAAAAATAATGCTTCCCCAAACCCATAGGTGTAAAACAATGTGAACACGTCTTCTGACCAAGAGCTAATAATTGCAATAATGAAAGCAACAGCAATCAGATGCTGTTAAAAAACAAACAGAACCATCCAAATGAATCAAAGTTACAGGAGAGAAGGGATGTTTTTAGTCTGAGTTAGTTGAGTTGAGCTAGGACCATAAAAACCAAAAGCTCCTTCACCAACTTTAGTTTTAATCCATTGAACAGCCAAAGGGCCTGATGACTTAAGAGGTTCATATTGGATAAACAGGTCAGAGATTATCTGGACAAAAGCTGTGTAGAGCTTTATAGACAAAAGGTCAAATTGTAATTTGTTCTTTTTTTGGTAGAAATTTGGTTGCAGCATTTTGTATTAGCTTTTGTGAGCCCACAGTCATATTAGTCAGATCAGTAACTAGTAGACATATTTTTATGATCGCTATGTTGATGGATAAAACAAACCTGTCTCCCTCAGAGAGTGAAAGAAGGTTAAGAAAACTCTTTCAGCATAGTTCAGTTAGTAATGAGTGTAATTATTAACTAGAGAATTAATTTCTGAAGAAACTGCAGTGTGAATGCCTGCTGTTGAAAGGCTGATGCTAAACTGGATTACTTCGTTTAAAAGTTGACTAATAATGAATGAAAGACGTGGAACGTACTTTTGTTTGAATAAACTGTTTAGCAAAAGTATGAAATAGCTGAAAAAGTGTAGGACGGAATATGAATAGTTCAGAAAGTGGGAATAGGCTAAAGGGTGCAAAATGAAGTATAAGCTAGAAGCTAAACTGCATTACTTGACTAATGGCTGGCCTGAGGAAGCAACTAAAGGAGTCCCAGTTTCTGCCTCCTTCTTGATATTTCTGGTCTCAGTTAATGTGTAAGTCTGTGCGGCATATGAATATTTTAATGTTTGAATGAAGGTTCTACACTGAAAAATGTGGAAGGAGTGAAATTGCAAACACACAATGGTTATTTAATGTTGGTTGTGGACAGAGATGGTTGTGCCCATATTTACTAGCTCTAAGTTTTAATATTCCTTCTATGGGCTGTGACATTAATGGTGTTTCTACAAACCTCAGTTTCAATTAT